GGCTTCCTTCCTGAAATCGTGCCTATTTAGGATCTTCTTAGTCATTACGAAAAAGTATAGATAGAGTTCATAAATGACTTCATCTGTTCGGCATCAAATGAACAACCCTTCAGGCATGTGGAGTGAGCAATCTAAAGGAAGCGTTTATTTGTTTTATTTTTCCAGTGCCTTCAATAAGGCTTTCATTTCCAAATAACTCCTTTGTGTGTTACTGTTTATACAATGGCTATATATTTACCATTTAAGAGTATTGCCCCAAAGCATAAGAGTAAGAAAAATCCAAATTTGAATTAAACTCTCCCTGAGCCTCGCAGTGGCCGTCACACAAAGTCTCCTGCTTTTCGTGTCTCTAGGATCCCCGAGTGTCCTGACTACAAGGAACCGTTCAGAGTTCTCAAGACGCAGGGCTCACTGGCAAGCAAAGCGCCACGGGGGACGCACAGCGGGTGGAGGCTCTGGAAGGAGTGGGGTGCCTGGGTCCAGACGTACTTCCATGGGGGAGACAGTGACCACTGCATCCTATAGGAAGCGTGGCTAATTAGGCTTCCTCAGCTGGATGGCAAGCTCCCCGGAAGGCAAGGGTCTTTTTTGTCTGGCATTGCCCTATAGCGCGGAGTAGATGCTTAGTCTACAGGGAGGACAGCCTGTGAAATAGCTGCAGCTGCTGCCACGACCCACGGCGTTCTGCAGGACGGAGGAGCAATGCGAGTAACATGGGAGTGACGTGGGAAGACCTCGCTCTGGCCACCAAAGCTGTCCTTCCTTTCTGGCTTTGCTTCCCTCACCTTCGATCTTTTCCTTTCTCCTGTAATAGTCATCACTAAAGAAAGTAGAAGAAAGAATGAAGTTTGCACACAGTCTAGAATTGAACTGGAGAATACATCATCAAAATCCTAAGTCATCCAAGCCTTTTGCTGGTCCGTGTCCACAGAGCGGCGGATATCTTTGTGAAATGTAAATGTGTCAGGTGCAGCTCCCCATTGCGGTGGCCCTCGGTAACAAGGTGTACGACTGTCCCTTCACAGCCCCAAGCTGAGCTCATGAAGCAGGGAGGATGCCATTGCTGGACAAGAGACCAGAGACTGGGATAGACACGTGCGTCCTAGTTCTGAAGAAAATGGCATCCAGAAAGAGAAAGCATCCAGTGGGCACAGTTTAAGGAGGTTTAGATAGAAAAATGAGTGTGCATATTATTCATGCTTAAACAGACTGCTTACGTCATCAAAAATACCAATATTCAGAGGAATAAATGCACTTAAAATAATTTTTAACCAAGAACAACTTTCAGGCAGTAGGTCGCATGCCTCCTGCATGGAGGGATCTTCAAGAACAGAAACTAAATCCCTTGTTCTCCTCTGCCTGCTTGTCATCCTTCCAGAAGCACCAAGTCTGGTTTAAACCATTGCTTTCGACCTATTTGTTTGATTATAAATAAAACGTATCTTTTCCATCATCAGTGTATATTTTCTAGCTGCCAGACATAAATACACTCCTTGCTTCCTAAATTGAAATGTCATTTTCCTCATCAGAATTGGCAATTGTAAATAACCGTTTGGGTTTGTTTTTTTTTTTAATGTCCTGTTCTCACAAATGTATTTTTGAACAGTGTCGCATGTATTTAAAATGGTGAGTTCACACTTAATCACCTCAATTTCAGGCTCTCAAAAAACTGTCAATATAGCAGGTTTGAAATGGAGACCTCATGACTCACCTGCTTCTCAACACAATTAGACCCCAAGGGTCATTGTTTCAGCATGAAAAGTAAGGGAAGTGTTCCTTTTTTGGCCTTTTCTCTACCCCAATGACACACATTCTGCAACCACAAAATATTCCAACTCCAACTCACTTTTTGAATAAGCAACTCCTATTGTGGTTTGTTCTTTTATCATTTGAGGTTATACAATGTGGAAAAACAAAAAAGCTACATAGTTTACTTACTCCTACAGTCAAATATTTTTTAAAAAGTGAGAACATGAGCTAAAGTTCTGCTTGTCATTGCTGCCTTCTGGGGCAGTGGAAAAGCAGGTGCCTTAAGCTTTCCGTTGTGTGCAGATCTTCCACGCCCTTTCCCTCTATCAGGAAAATATGTCTGTCTCCTGGTCTATTGAGCTCTTGACCTTCTGACTAATATACCAACAAAAGGCACCGTTTATGAGTGACTAATGTATGTATCTTTCTCCATAAGGAACTTGATCACGGCTGCCACAACTCAGCATCATTACCAACTATCTTTTCCGTGTGCCCTCCAGGGATTTGTGCAATGGGCTGTCTGCCCTACACAAACAGGCCATGCCACCATCTCCCTAGGTCCACCTCTTTCATGCCTAGGAGGAGTTTATCAGCTATAATTTGGAGAGAAGGGGCACACAAAGATGAGCCCGACTCTGAGGGGACATTCGTCCCTGCTTTGGTTGGAATCTGGGAAGCTGAAGTTGTTTCTGTAAAGCACGTTCCCTGCTGCTGACCTCCCCTGTCATGCAGGGTTCTCCCGCCAGCACCTCTGTTCAAATCCCCTGTTGCTTTTCGTCCTGCCCACATTCTTCCTTAACATCTTTTCTTTACACCTGTAACAAATGTCAACAACGCCTCCTCCCAACACAAGCTTCCTCCTCCTCTCTCAATCCAACTCAAAGCCCTTCGTGGAAGGCTCCCTGCAGCGGAGCCACAGGACTTCATCTATCCCTTGCAGCCATTCCCACCTGCACCTTCTCCCACCTCAGAACACCATGTCAATCTTAAGAAATACAAACAGAAAAGCCGGTGGACGTCAAAGGTGTATCTGTTTACATGTTTGTTTTTACAAAGTTTATCGTTGTTGTTTTTCTAAAAAGCAATAGGGCAAGAACCCTTTTGTTTAAAAATCTTATCTTTTGTTTATCTGATATATTCTTTTTGTTTTGTTTGTTTGTTTTTGAGACAGGGTCTCACTCTTCGCCCAGGCTGGAGTGCAGTGGCACGATCATGGCTCGCTGCCACCTCGACCACCTGGGCTCAAGTGATCCTCCCACCTCAGCCTCTTAAGTAGCTGAGACTACAGGCGCATGCCACCACACCTAGCTAATTTTTTCATTTCTTTTATAGAGATGGGGTCTTGCTGTGTTGCTGTGTTGCTCAGGCTGGTCTCAAACTCCTGGTCTTAAGCAATCCTCCCACCTCAGCTTCCCACAGTGCTGGGATTATAGGCATGAGTCACTGTATCCGGCATCATCTCTCCCTCTCTATCTCTCTCTCTCTCTCTCTGTTCCTCTCTCTCATTCATACATGTATGTGTGTATATATATAATATTTTGTTCTATATATTTGAATATTTGGGATGATCGAACTTTAAATAAATTGAAATCCAGCTTTACCTGTGACAGCACAAAGACATGTACTATGAGGAAGGAAAAACCCACCTAATTGCAATGGCTTTGTGAACCATTTTAAGGTCATTTATTATGAATAAATGGCATGCACTACAGTTGTGTGACTCCCAATCTGTTTTTTTCTTCTGAAAATCAGTGTTATATCTGCCTGCCTTCACCCTCACCAAAAGAAATGAATAAGGATAGGAATTTATTGTATGTATATCACAGAAGACAGTGATATTTCCCTAATAAGTTTCTGGAAACATCAAGCAAAAGAACTGCTTCCCTATGCTGTGTAGGATTGTAATTGTTATATTTATTCTGGTCTGAACCATTACTAAGTCTTTTTTAAATGTCTCAGATGACTAAGGAAGAATAAAAGGTTGGAAACATCATTTTTCCCTCTATTATTTTCACATTCAAACAAAATAAACATTGTGGGTCTACAATTGAAATATGAATCAAATGAATTCTATCTCTAGTGAAATGCACATTTTCAACTTGCACTGAAGGTCCCTGGCCCCGTGGCACCCTCTAGGCCTGAGCTGTCACCCTCATCCTACTGGGTCTTCCCAGCCCACCTGTGCACTTTCCTTCCACCACAGATAAGGCAGGACACACTCATGACTTGCTTGCTGGGAGAATAAATGTCATTGAAGCCCTTGGTTACCTGGCAGTGGAATACAACAGAAAGCATGGAATGACTATCATTAGAGAAAACAATTGTGGGATGTCTACACGCAGAATGGAAGCTAAGGGGCCCCATTTTTGTCAGACTCCCTCACCCTTGGTAACTCCTGCAGCTTGGATACAATCGCATATCTCTTTTCTAAGGGATTCGAGATTGAGTTTGTGGTATAGAGGAGAGGCTGTTGGCCATAGGTTCCTGGCCTTTGAAGGCCACCCTAGAAATTGCGTCTCTCCTAGCACCTGAGAGGCAACTGAAGCGATCACTTTCAGACCCTACAGCTGACACACCTCCCTAGACTTGGGGACTCCAAAACTAGCAGTGACACAAACTCCCTGCAAAGCCCTGACTGACGAATAGCTGCATCCCAGCATTGAGTGATCGTTCGAGAGCAGCCAGGGCACGAGAAGCAGCTTCCTCCTGTCCCACCTGCACCTGGAATGAGCAAAATGATTTCAGGGAACTGAACACTTGGGTTACTGGGATTCAGGAGAAAGAGTTTGCCATGTGTTCAAAAGCAGCAGAGACGTGGGGTGGGGGCTAAGCCTCATTCCAAAGCAGATCCATTTTAAATCACACGGAACAAACAGCCTGATCTCACAATAGACTGTTCCTTCTAAGGACACCGTGCTGTGATTTCAGAAGACTCAGGGCCCGAGAGAACACTCTGTATATAACAGATCAAGAAACAGAGTCCCTGACTTGTCCTCTTTCTTGTAACTGTGATTCACTCGCTGTTGTTTACTCCGTTATTCCTTCATTTTAGATTATTTTTCATTGGCTCCAATTTGGGAGTTGGTATTTTTGTATAGTTGCCACTGCTTTTAAAACTCCTCAAGATCGTGTAAAAATCTTGCACGTGTGTGTCTCCTCATAAGCATTCAGAGAAAATGCCTAGACTGTGTAGGACTTTTCGGGAAATTGCGGAGAAATAACTGCCCTCTTTGTGTGTTTGCATGCACCAGTGAACTCCGGAGATGGCATTGACTACAGCCAGCAGAAGAGGGAGAACATTGGTGACTTGATCCAGGAGACGCTGGAGGCCTTCGAGCGCTACGGAGGAGAAAATGCCTTTATCAACATTAAGTACGTGGTCCCCACCTACGAGTCTTGCTTGCTAAACTAACAGTGGCAGCAGCTGGGACTTGAAGCCTCCCGTTGGTGTTGGGATCATCCGTCTCTGCTGCTTTTAGCATCTCATTCCTTGTGACTTCCACAGCTTTCTTTTCTACAGCTGCTAAAATAGTGGCTTATGGGCCATTGGACTGTTAGCCCTATTGAGAGCAAGGCTTTCCAATACATAAATAGTGCCTGTTTCTTAGATTACAATAGTGTACTGTGCTTATTTGTTCTATGAGAAGAATTGCTTCTTTATACAGCTCCGACAGAAGCAGGAGTCCGAGTGAAACCTTCAGTTGTATAGACAATAAACTATAATTTTCATACGCAATTCAGCAATTGCTGTTCTGTGTGTGCCTGCCCTGGGGGTGATGTCAGAGGTTGTAAGGGAAGAGTTTATGCTGACTGCTTAATAGGTGTTTGTCATGGAAGAGAAGCATCGGTTCAGCCGTGCCTCTCTAGCAGCTGTGCGGAATAATGTGCTTTGACATTCAATAAAACTGTTGAATCTATATTCCAATTACAGCAGGAAATTTTTGCAGCCCATTATAACCTCAGCTACAGTTGCAATTAATGCCTTTAGCCTACTAGTGATCTGGGCTTCAGGGGCCTTTCAGTTTATATTTCGGTGCAGGTAGGGGAAGACTGGGGAGAGGACGGGGTCAGGGTTATGTGTGAAATGTAACTTGGCAAATATGTTTAAAAAAAAAGAGAAAAGGCTAGCTTGAATCCTCATCTCTCCGTACGGCACACTGCATCTCAGGACCTGGTGTGTTACTGACAAAGTGTTATCGGGAAGTTTGTTTAGGGCTTTTAATTATTTTTGAAAATGACTTATATGCATCTTAATGATTACTCTTTGAAACAGATCAGAATTCTTCCTTGGCAACTCTTCTTCCTTGCTTCCTCCCACTAGTTGGATGACTTTTCATAGCACCATGCAGTAGGTCTGACGGCCGCATTGGGGGATTTTATTGAGACCAAAAAGGAAAAAAGCAAACAAACAAAAAGACAAAAGACATGCACTTTTTCATTCAATTGAAAAAGAAATTTAAAAATGACCAAAGAGAAGAGCAACTGTAAGAGAGTCAGCCCTGGATCGTGGCTCTTCAGACATGTCAGGTGGGAGCTTCAGGCATTTGAAACTTAGCCCAGAAAACTTCATAAAGATGGAACACTGACTTTGCACACTTGAGAGATGCTGTAACTGCTTAGAAATACATAGCCGAAAGTATCTTATTCCTGTAGCAAAGTGAAACTTCTGCATAAAAGTGAAGAAATGAGGCCAGGTATTGTGGCTCATGCCTATAATCCCAGCATGTTGGGAGGCCAAGGCGGGTGGATCAGGAATTCGAGTCCAGCCTGACCAATATGATGAAACCCCGTCTCAACTAAAAATACAAAAATTAGCCAGGCGTGGCAGCATGCGCCTGTAATCCCAGCTACTTGGGAGGCTGAGACAGGAGAAATGCTTGAACCCGGGAGGCGGAGGTTGCAGTGAGCCGAGATCGTGCTGTTGCTCTTCAGCCTGGGCAACAAGAGCGAAACTCCACCTCAAAAAAAAAAAGAAGTGAAGAAGCGAAATGTGTTTCTTCATGCACTATGCATCAACCTCCAAACTGTTTTCACTATCTAAGGCACAAGTTTCTAAAGGCAAACACCAGTTTTGAAAATGAGCTCATCGTCCATTTCCCCTAATTACTGTCTCAGCATGTGAAATCTAGCAGCTTAGGAGCTACCATCCTGTTTCTGTAAGCATTGTCTACGGTGAAGGAAGAGGCATGATTGGATAAGACAAATTGACTTTGTTTTTTGTCTTTTGTTTTTTGAGATGGAGTTTCACTCTTGTTGCCCAGGCTGGAGTACAATGGCGTGATCTCAGCTCACTACAACTTCTGCCTCCTAGGTTCAAGCGATTCTTCTACCTCAGCCCCCTGAGTAGCTGGGATTACAGGTGTGCACCACAGTGCCTGGCTAATTTTGTATTTTTAGTAAAGACGGGGTTTCCCCATGTTGGTCAGGTTGGTCTTGAACTCCCAACCTCAGGTGATCCACCTACCTCGGCCTCCCAAAGTGCTGGTATTACAGACATGAGCCACTGCGCCCGGCCAACAAATTGACTTTGATGCACAATATTTGGTAAAGGCACAGCTAGAAGTAGACATCCACAGATTAAAGCAGGTTATTCTGCAAACTCTGACATTCAATTGCATCCATCAGCTGGCATCAGTGAAACAATCAAAGGGAACACCAAAGTCTGTAAGGTTATTAGTTAGAAGGATCACGGCTTGTTGGCGCCTTTGAAAGCTGGTACTGGAATGGCTCTGACCCGGCTCTGCTGGGACATGCAGAGGCAGCTCTGGCCACTCACTCTTCATTATACTCCTGAAAACTGCCTGGTAGAGGAGCAAGAAGACCTGGCAACTTAGCCAAGAGCCCTAACTTTGGAATTAAAACATCAGGCTTTGGCTGGGCACGGTGGCTCACGTGCCTGTAATCCCAGCACTTTGGGAGGCCAAGGTGGGCAGATCACCTAAGATCAGGAGTTCGGGCCAACATGGTGAAACCCCCATCTCTACTAAAAATACGGAAATTAGCCAGGCCTGGTGGCAGGTGCCAGTACTCCCAGCTACTCGGGAGGCTGAGGCAGGAGAACCGCTTGAACCCGGGAGGTGGAGGTTGCAGTGAGCTGAGACTGTGCCACTGCACTCCAGCCTGGGTGAGAGAGCAAGACCCCGTCTCAAAAAAATAAAATAAGGCCGGGCGCGGTGGCTCAAGCCTGTAATCCCAGCACTTTGGGAGGCCGAGATGGGCGGATCACAAGGTCAGGAGATCGAGACCATCCTGGCTAACACGGTGAAACCCCGTCTCTACTAAAAATACAAAAAACTAGCCGGGCGAGGTGGTGGGCGCCTGTAGTCCCAGCTACTCGGGAGGCTGAGGCAGGAGAATGGCGTGAACCCGGGAGGCGGAGCTTGCAGTGAGCTGAGATCCGGCCACTGCACTCCAGCCTGGATGACGGAGCGAGACTCCGTCTCAAAAAAATAATAATAATAAAATAATAAAATAAAATAAAATCAGGCTTCATTGACTAGTTCTGTCATTTATTTGCTCTGCTGCCCTGAGCAAGATATTTAACCTCTCTGAAACTCACACCGCCTCAGCTGTGAAGTGGGGATGCCCCCTGCGTGCTGCAGGGTTATAAGCTGTAGGGGTAACCTATGAAAAGTGCTACCAGAGTTTGTGGTACCTGTCGAACTTTTATTTCAAAGAAAAACAAGTACAAAAGATGACTAGTGTCTACCCGGGCAGAGCGATACGTATTTGAAAACTCCTCAGACAATACGATGCTTCTTACGTGGCAGTGGTGAGTTTCTTGTGAAAAGAAGATAATTTTGCAAAAACCCAAAATAACTCTATAGATAGGATCATGTTCTCTGGAAATTAAAAGGCAAAATAAAACCCCCAAACCCACAATTTTGTGGTTTTAATAGAATTAGAAAAGGCTACTTTTTCCAATGGTCAGCCCACCCAAGTCTGCCTTCTAAAATAATACCCACGTCTGCAGCCAAATAATTTCTGATTAACTCCACGGAGAAGGAGGAAATGTCAGCAGGTTTCCGGCCTCTGAGCAAGACAACAGCTCCTTCCACCTGCTACATTTATACTTTGCCTTTCAAAGACAGCTAAAGGAACGGAATGATGAAGAGCGGGAAATACTGGGGACTGGGTATTAGGCATGGATTTTTGTTTGTCCTCTTAGGACTGTTACATTTACTCGAAGACACCATTCAGGTGTTAAAGTCAGTTAAGGGGGAGGCAAGGAATGAGACCTTGGATGCCAGGGTAGAGGAGCTGGGTGGGAAGGCTGGGCCTGTCACTCGGGAGCTGGACAGCCTGGAGCGAGTCACTTAGCTTTCCTCACCTGCAGGACAGCCTCTCTCCCCAGGTCACTGCGAGGACACGATGATAGACGCTGCGGCACAGTGGTTCTAGTGCAGGAGTGGGAACCCAGCAGAACTGCTTTTGAAGTATCTTTCCACCACTGAGTAGCTGTCCTGTGACCTTGGGCAAATTATGTAAATGCTCTAAAACTCAACTCCCTCATCCAAAAATGGGCTGTATGATGTCGACCTTGCAGGTTGGTTACAAGCGTCGCACACGTGCATGTTTGTCCAGGGCTCCCCGAGGTCCATGGCCGGGTACCCGCGAGGATAGAGGAATGTTCCTGGGGAAGTAGCCACCAAGTGCCTGGAGAAAACAGGTGCTCCATCATCGTGTGGTCCCCTAAGAGAACTGGGCTCTAATGTCTGCTGAGTCCCCATGGGCCGGGATGGGTGGTCTCTTGTCCCTAATAGGCCCAAGTGAGACAGATGCCAGGATTTGCAGCCCACACGCCCTCCTGGAAGTCATCTCCATGGGCACACTTCTCACTATGAGAGTATCCTCCCTGGCCCGTCGGGTGGGAAGAATGGCACGTGATTTTTATGGCCTGACTCTATATGAGAAATGTCAGTCAAAAATGGGCATTTTTGGAGTTCAGGCCAGGCGTGGTGGCTCACACCTATAATCCCAGCACTTTGGGAGGCTGAGGCAGGTAGATCACCCGAGGTCAGGAGTTTGAGACCGGCCTGGCCAACATGGTGAAACCCCCATCTCTACTGAAAACACAAAAAATAAGCCAGACATGGTGGCGGCAGCCTGTAATCCCAGCTACTCAGGAGGCTGAGGTGGGAGAATTGTTTAAACCTGGAGGCAGAGGTTGCAGTGAGCTGAGATTGCACCATTGCACTCCAGCCTGGGCAACAGGAGCGAAACTCCATCTCATATATATATATGGAGAGAGAGAGAGTTAAAAAACTCTGTGAAATGGTTACATCCTTAGAAAATATTATTTTCAAAGCTGAAGATATCTTAAACAACAACAACAACAACAAAAAACCCTTAAGTTCTTCTGGGGTTGACCTCCATGAGATCTCTAGCAAAGTTTCAGTATAGGTCGTGGGACATCTCAGACTGCTAATTTAGAGAAGCTAAAACTAAAGAGTTTTAAGTCTGTTTCAACATGCACTGCCTCTTTTGCTTCTTTTGGTTGTTTTCAGATGTTCATCACGAGCCTTTTGCAAGCAAAAGCTGGAAGGCTCAAAGACGGATCTTCTTTTAAAGAAGTAATATATCTGGGGAAATGCCCCATGGATATTTTTCTAAATATAAATTTCGATTCTCCGATAGGATTTTAAATGGAGTCAAAAGCCTCAAATGCTTTCTAAACAATTCCCTCTATGAAAGCTTCCTTCATTAGAAATGTACCCGTTGATCAAAGTTTGTCCAAAATGTGATGTTTCCAAGATACAAGGAGGCTTTGCTTTCAGCAAAGTGAAACTGACTTTGACCAAGTTCCCATTCACACCACGTCGATTCATGTCCACCAAACATCCAGGGCCCAGAGGGACCTTGGCGGTCACACAGCCTGTGGGTCAGCAGTGCCTAAGTCACACAGAGGTAACCAGGG